TTCTTTTCTTCTTCCTTACTCTTAGGGCTAGGCCTGCCCAACCCAGGTCAGGGCCAGGATTTGGCCACTTTAGCCCAAACCTAAGGGACTAGAGTCAAGCTAGGGCCAAGATTGGTCCTACCCAAGCCTGACCCATTGCCAATCCTAAAAGCAACAAAATGCTTACTTATACGAAACAACATGTGAAAGCAAACCCAAATATTCAAACTTCACCCCGAACTCCGAGCAGCTCAAATCTTTGGTTGTGATTTATGCAATCTCTTGCTCTTATAGCGATGCTCTTGATTTAGAGGAAAGAAAATTTTTCATTGAGTTACTCTTCCTTTAACTTTGCCTATTATTTTGAGTGGCCTGGAAGGAAGTGTACAGGAGAATAAACAAATAAATTATTAAAAGTTAGGGTAGAGGAGATTCTCTCTAGACGCATTTACATTTCTGCAAAGCAAATAATCTCCAACATTTGAAAATGAACTAGAGTTAGCCTATTTGAAGATGAGAATTCCAATTGGAGTAGAAAATTGACTTTTTGGTAAAGATATGGGTGGAAAATCAACTTCTCATCAACAATTTTGTTAGGTTCAAATAAATGAAAATATCAAGATATGCCTTTCAAAAGCTTGGTTTCACCCACTTATTCCTTCATTTTTCATTGGCAAAAGAGCGACCTAACTCCACAATATCAAGAGAATTCCATCGCAATTAATTTGCAACAAATTTCAAGGAGTTATGGATGATTTTGTGGAGAGATGTCCACAAAATCAACAACTACATCATTTCTATACAATTTTTCCATATGTTTCACCATTTTTTTTTGCTGGATTCCTCTTATTCTGGTTTCACATAATCGTATAGAACAATCCTAGCAATGATTTGCCTCAAATATCACCCAAACACTCAACATATAAGATGAGTCATGGGTCTTTTATTGTGCACAAAATATAATTTTACCAACATTTAAAAATTAGTCACAGTTGAGCTTCAAAATTACCCTCCATCTATGATATATGTATAGAAAGACCCATAATATACATTGTACATAAAACCGTAAGAAGAGGTATAACAATAAAGAAAAAAAAGTCACAGAAAAAGAAGTCAATAATATAAGGCAAAAGTTTATATAAGGATGCAACCTTGTAATGTAGAACTACGGATGCACCTCAAAAATCCATCGGAAAAGGTAGTTTTAATGTTGAAAAACCCTTTGATTGATCAGCTCGACATCGAGATGTATGACCATAAAAAATAAAAAGATTTTAAGTCTCAAAAATAGTAAATTTTACGACATATTATCTACACCGTCAAGTTTCAATATTTTCATATGATCTACTTGATTTTAACCATTTTTGAAATTTAAAATTTTATAATTAGATATAAAAATAAATCCCAAGAACATTTTACATCAAAATTATATACCATAATAAAATTTTAACGTGCACCTAACCACTACAGTTACGGATGCATCCGTATGTCAACTGCACCCATAATATAATGTGAATCTATTTCTAGAATGTTAAGTTGAACTTAAAACACTTCCCATGTTCTTGAAAATTATGTAAAAGAATTAGTGTCTTAAAATATTATAAAAAGAAGAAGAAGAATGGACATGGACATAGGCTTTTAAAATAGGGGTTGCCGACAAAAAGACCCTAAATCTTTTGTGCATGGATGTTCCAATCATCTCCTCTCATTAAAAGTCAAATTGAATAGCTTGAGGTGAGTCACAAAGTCCGAGAAATTTTTTTTTTTTTGAAACTGTCTATTAAATAACACTCTTACAATCACCCATTTTGAAATTTAAGAAGCAAGAATGATTATAACCTCCCGGTACAAAAGATAAATAGTCTATTTGTAGACAATCCCTTTAAAATATATAAATATTAGTCATAAAATTTCAAGAAATTGGTTGTGAACTGTTTTCGAAATGTATAAAAGTGAATTTGGTCCTTGTGTTTTAACAAGCAAAATTTTTTAAACCTCTAAGAATTCATCATTAGTTCGAAATTCGCCCTTAAACGTTTTTATATGGCAGAAGATGAAGATCTAATGAAATGATGACATTAATTTTTTAGAGTCTTTTAGAAGTTCTTAAAAAAAGAGAAATTAGAGTCGTAATGTAATTTAGAACTTAAGAAGATAAAAGATTTAGAATACAATTTTATTTTGATATTTAGTAAATCAAATTGTATTAAGAAATTCAGAAAGTTCATTAAAGATAAATTTCAGAAGCATAAAAGCCGTTGAAACAAGGATGGGAAGGAACATAAAAGTCTATATAGATTTTTGTTCAATTCGCCTAAAAACTTTCTCCCCTAGAAACTCTAAATGTACAGGTTGTAGTAAAATGCTCCAAAAAATCATTAAAATACAACAATGAGGGAAGAAATAAAGTTTACATTTAGCTTTTAATAATTCAATATAAGAAATTTGTAAGTTGCTTATAAACTATTTTGCTGTGATGAAGATTTACGAAATGATAATGTTAACTTTCTCCATCATTTCAAAGTTCTTAAAAATGGAGAAATTAGTCATAGATGCAACGGATTACACTTGATACCTAGAACTTAAAAACATAAAGAATTTATGTTAAATATTTATAAATCATAATAAAAGATTCTTGTATTTTGAGGATCTGAATATTCAGTATAAATAATTTTTAGAAGCACAAAGAAATTAGAATAGTTGATGTTTTTCAGACTGTTTTAATAGGAAGAAAGAGACGTTAAATAGCAAATATTGTATGAGCGTTTAGGTAACTTATAATACTAGAAGAAACAGTCGACTACAAGATTAATTATGTACCATCATTTTTTCGTGCCAAATCTCGAAAAACACCATTAAATCACTTTTTTCAGATATTTGACCATCGGATGAATCAAAACATGGATAAAGGTGCCCAAAAAAAAAACATAGATAAAGGTCACGTCCCTCTAACCCTAGTTTATAAATAGGACCAAATACACAACCTGGTCATGCTCCAATCCCGCTGAACAAAGGGCACCACGATTGTCAACATTTTTCATCACAGTGACGAAACATGGCCTTGTTCGAAAAATTTTGTATCCCAAAACAAGGCTAATGAATGTTCAATAAATATTGTGTACATTAAATAAATATTCAATGTGTAGGAGTACCCTGATAAAATCCATTATATAATTATAATTAAATGAAAAATAATTATTATTAACTATTGATTTATAATTATATATCCAATTTATCTAATTAGATATTAAAATAAAAATTAATAATCTAGAGAATGATAAAGATGGATAGACAAAAAGGATTAAATTTGAATAAATTAATAATGAAGAGTAAAGGGGTAACCATCTTGTGCAATATATAAAAGAGAATATACAAGTATAATGCATTCACGATATTTACCAATAATTGGAGTTACATTTGTAATTATTGTAATATACATTACATTTAAGTCTCTTACCAAAAAAAGTCTTCTCTCCATTTGATATGTCTTGAACTATTTCATCCATGTTCTCCCAAAATTGTCTCTTAATTACATCCACTAATCCTACTTGAGATGCATAAGCACTAATAAT